CCTTCTTGGGAGATTATAGTGATGTGTGGTGTTAGATAGGGATTTTTTTTTTTTTTATTGAGAATAAAATACATTTTGCCTCAATCAAGGGCATTAAGTATTTGAGATATAAGAAACTCATTCGTACAATATATACAATTACAGAAATAATAGAAATTATAACAAAAATAAGAAAAAGAAACCTTAGTAAAACAGATGAAATAAAATATGATATAACACAAATAAAAACAAAACAAAAATAAATAAATAAAACATTCATGCTATTTACAATATTTACAGTCAGCCGAGGGAGCTCCAAGTCGGGCCCTTTCCCCCACGTGTGGAAGATAAGGCAAGACTCTAAGAGATCCCAGCGCTTCTCTCTCAGCCGCATCACTGAGATGAAGATCCAGTGGAGACTGAGAAAGGGCGCTAAAGCCACATACGCTCATGACTTGAGTGGAGAAGCTGGCCATTGCCAGGACTCCAATGACGTATTTACAAAAGATCTCGAGGCCACTGCCTTTTTAACCTTCGAGGAGGATTGTAGGGATGGCTGGAGCTGGATAAGGATTGTGCTAAGGGATTATGATGATGGATTAGGTTTTTATGAAAATTTGAGAAACGGGATGGAATAACGTCAAGGACATAAGGGATGTTAAGATCATGATGTAGAGTATTGTTTGTAACATAATAAGGAGCATTTACTATTGTACGAAGGACTTTGGACTGGAAGGATTGGATGCGTTTGATGTTCGAAAATTTAGTTGTCCCCACAGTCAAGTCCGTAGGTCCAGATGGGTTTCAGTATGGTCTTGTATATTAATGGTTTGTTTTCAATTGAGAGCTTAGATTTTCTGTTAAGTAGTCTGTATAACTGACCAAACCGTCGGTTAAGTTCTTGTCTTTTTAGTCTGGTATGTGGGTTCCATGTTAGTCTTTTGTGCAAAAGGAATCCAAGATACCGAACTGTGTCTGAGATGGGAAGAGGTACTGAGTTGAAAAGGATAGGTGGACAGGATCTGCGTTGGAGGGTAAAGGTGACCTTCTTGCATTTGGATTCATTGATTTTGATACGCGAATTGTTGCATCACTGCTCTATTAGGGCGAAGTGTCTTTGTAGGTTTAGTGATGATGTTTCAGGGTATGCGTGGTATGATAGGATGGCGGTATCGTCAGCAAATGTTGCTAGAAGATAGGGATTGAGCAAGTGGTTTTGAATGATTAAGCTATTATGTATTAGTTGTATTGGAATGTAAAGCCCTGCAGGGATGTGACCTAGAACTTTCCTGACGTATTCTCTGCGTGGCGTAAGAGGCGACTAAAAGAGAATCCTTCCCCTTTTTTCCTCTTTGAAGAAGGACCCTCCTGTAGCCTGAATGGGGTGACAAGAAAGCCGGCCTCAGGCCCTGAAGCAAGAGGGGAGTCTTGCTTACAGCTCGAAGAAGGATTAACTTCAGCAAAACTGGTCCTACAGGTTGGGAGTTGTGCGTTGGGCTGGTAACCCATCCACGGAAAACAATCAACACTTGAATCCTGAAAAGAAAAAAGCCGGACTGATCTCACGGAAACGACTTAACGCCTGTATAACTGATTTTTGACTCGGAACTTGGAACGTTTTGTCATTATATCGACCTGGAGCACTTCACCTGCTCTTAGCCCAACTTGCCAACTTCGGGGTAGATATTTCTGCCATCCAGGAGGTAAAGTGGACGGGGGCTGGAATACTAATATATACTATATAATATACTACAGCTGCGATGAAAGGTTGCACCACATTGGCACTGGCTTCGTGGTTGGCAGAATAGCTTCCCAGTTAATAATTGGTTAATAATCCAATCGACCTCAGAATCTGCTACCTGCACATGAACGGGAAATTCTACAATTACAGCCTATGGAGCATCGATGCACCGACGGAACCTTCCGAAGATTAGGACAAGGACGCCTTTTACACCGTGTTGGAGTGGAGCATTGACCAAAGCCCTCAATCGGACATAAAAATTGTGATCGGAGACTTCAATGCCCAGGTCAGGAGGGAAATGGCCTACAAACCAACAATTGGAATGAACAGTCTGTATGATGTTTCGAATGATAATGGCAGACGCATGATGGTCCTGGCTGCTTCAAGCAGACTAGTGGGTGGTGGCACTATGTTCCCTCATAAAAGGATACATAAAGCAACTTGGAGGTCCAATGACGGGACTACATTGAATCAGATAGATCATATTCTGATGAGCGCTAGACACATATCAAGCCTAAGATATGTAAGGATATACTGTGGAGCGAACATCGACTCAGACCACTATCTGGTCATATCTCGAATCAGGGCTAGAATCTCTGCCGTCCGGAACCGAAGAAGAGTACCTCAGCCCAAGTGGAATATTGAGCAGCTCAAAGACCCTGAAACGAAAATTCGTTTTGTTGACTCCATGGACGAAAAACTGCGAAACTTGATCCTGGAAGGTGATACTGAGGCCCATTGGGAAAAATGTAAGGAAGCGGTTAAAGTAGCCAAGAACTCACCAAAGTCCTGCACCAAATAATCCTAGGAATTTGAAGGGGAAAGAATCCCATCAGACTGGTATAAAACCATAATCTGCACAATACACAAAAAGGGCGATGTTCTTGAATGTAGGAACTACCAAGAGATTTCTCTTTTGTCATGTGCCTACAAAATACTCTCACGAATACTATTCCTTAGGCTCCTCCCCTTTGCCGAGAGAGAAATAGGAAAGTATCAAGCAGATTTTATGAGGGGTAAAGGAACGACTGATCAGATTTTGTCTCTGATAATAATGTTGGAGAAAGTCCGTGAATCAAACCCATCACCTCTTGATCGATTTTCGGGCTGCGTGTGACAGTGTACTGAGAGAGGAACTGTTCAGGGTGATGTTGGAAATAAGTGTTCCTAGAGGACTGATATGTTTGATTCGTCGAGCAATGGAGTCCGTCCAGTGCTATGTCTGGCCTGCCTACTGTTTAATTTTTCCCTAGAAGGAGCCATCAGCCAGTCAGAAACTCAAGTTGGTGGAACTATTTTCAATCTGACGGTGCAGCTCCTTGGATATGCTGATGATATTGACATCATAGGTAGGACTTTTACGGCCATGAGCGAAGCCTTCTTAAGCCTAGAGACAGCAGCAGCACGGTTTGGACTGCAAGTTAATCAATCCAAGACTAAATACATGAGTACTAATGCTACAAGAAGAGTACCCGAACACATTCAAGTTCAAAGATACACATTTGATACTGTGAACGAATTTATATACTTGGGATCTCTAATTACAATCGACAGTGCAGTGGGGGCTGAAGTGCAACACAGAATACAGGCAGCCAACAGATGTTACTTTAGACTAGTCCTGCAGCTTAAAAGCAGGGTAATCTCCCAAACAACAAAGCTGCGACTGTACAAAACCCTAATTAGGCCTGTTCTCACCTATGATGCTGAGGCGTGGATGCTGACCAGGGCATTGGAGGAAGACTTGCGCTGATACTAAGAGGATTTTGGGACCAATCTATGATCCAGAGGGTCCAGAGAAGGCGAACAAATAAAAAAATAATGAGCATGTACAAGGATAGGGACATCATCTGTTTTATAAAATTGGGACGGCTCCAGTGGGCTGGTCATGTGGCTAAGATGAGCTCAAAGAAGCCAACTTGAAAGATCCTGGACGAGATGGTCGAAGCCAAAAGAAGAGTTGGACGCCCAAGGCTGGGCTGGCAGGATGGTGTGACATTGGATGCCCACTCCATCCTGGGAACAAGAAAGTGCACAAAGAAGACAGGACTGGCGGAAATCATTACAGGAGGCCCTGACTCCTTGTGGGTTGTAGTGCCATTAAATAATAATAATAATAATAATTGGAATGTAACCACGGCCTTATATATAAAGTTTTATTAATACTATTTTTTCAATGTCACCAAAATCAATGCATTTTCTACTAATATCCGAAATGATTTGTTTTTTACATAATCTCATATTGGTTAGTTGTGTTATTAACTTATGTTTTCCGTTAAATCGGCTTGGTGCTACTGTCCAACATTAGGTACTTAGTCATATTTCTTGACAAATAAGACTGCGTTATATGGAGAATAGTGACACTAATGTATTCCTATTTTCAAATTTTACGAAATATTTACTCCATAACTGATTATAATATAAGTAATACATTATGGCTGCTTTTTATCCAGAGAGATTTCTCCACTCTACAAAGGTTCTGTTTAAATTTGTTTTCTTTTAGACGATTTTTTCCGTCTTTCCGAGCAAAAACGTCTTTAATAATAGCTTTAATAAGAGTCTCCTCTATTATAGGTGTCATTAACTGAGACAGATCGTAATGCTTCTCAATAAAAAAGTTTTAAAATATAAATAAGAGTCTGGTCATTGTTTTGCTGGTAAATCATGAGGGGTTAGCCGGTTGACCGAGAACTCATCGTACGGGTAGGTGCCTCAGTAAGTGACACCACTTGGTCATACCAAACAATACCCTCTATCATAAGAGAGGAAAAGGAAAGAAAAAAAAACATAGAAATAAATTGTTTTAACTGTACACACTGTAAATATAACTGTTTTCATTTATCCTTGGCCTGTTTTGTGATAAAAATCACTGATGTTTCTCGAAAACAAGTAAATTCTGGAAGCTGAGTTGCAAACACAACCGTACATGTCAGCTGATCGATGGGCTGTTAGAGAATAAAATAAAATTATAATAAGTAAAAAAAATTAAATTATTATATAATAGAGAAATAAAATTGAATATTTAAAAAAAAATCCTTTTCTCGGAGATAATAATGTGAGAATATTAACTTTTTTATATTAACTTTTTTTTTGCCATTCCCCAAATTGGCATCTTGGTCGATTTTCTTCAGTTATTAGGTGGAGGTGTGTAATTCTTTTTCGATTTTTATTTAAATGGTACAGTTACCGTTTAATATATTTGCATTTTAGGCCCAATTAAATAAGGATTAGCTCTGAAACAGAAATGTTATATGCAAATACTTATTTTTTTGGCTAAGGGGATATGATTGTAATAAAACAAGGAAAGTGGGGTACTGAGGCAGACAAGTCTAGATTGAATCAAAGAGATGGAGCACGTTGTGTTGAATACGACCTCCTGACCCTTGCTCATATTCTGTCCGGGCCATTCCACCCTGGCGGGTTCTTCCGCACCGACGCCTCCCCCCCCCCACCCACCCTCCTCCGGCCCGACACCTCCCTTTTCCGCCAACCACAGCCTTCAAAATTAGTCTTCTATCTGTCTAACCTCCATCAATCTCACACTTGCTCATTCTCTATAAAACATTATATATATGTATGCAAAACTTCACTATTGAATTCGATCAAATATGAGACTCTTATTAAAGATGAGATTGAAGATGTTTTTTCTCGGAAAGACGGAAAAAATCATCCAACAACAAAAAAATTGAGACAGAACCTTTGCAGAATGCATAAATTTCCCTGAATAAAAATCAGCCATAATATATTACTTATATTATAATCAGTTCTATGCTATTCTCAATATAACGCAGTTTTAATTGTCAAAAAATATGACAAAGAACCGAATGATGGGCGTTAGCACTGATAGAGTAAGAGTTATTCCTGTATACTGTCAACTTAATCAACGCTTAAATAAATTTTCTTGCATGGTTCTTCAACTGTTCTGCGCCTGAAGAAGCATCGCCGATTTAATGGAAGATCTAAGCTAATAACACACCTAATCAATATGAGATGTAAAAAGTAAATCATTTCCGATATAATGAGAAAAATCATTGATTTTGGTGACATATAAAAATGAGTATTTATAGAACTTAATATATAAGGAATATGTAGAGAATAAAATTAAAAGAGGGCATTGTTTGTTATTTTCAAGTCCCAAAACCACTCAGTTCACTCCTAAAGACCATTTGTTGGTTTTGAGGAATATAGGAGAAATATATAAAATCCCATAATATTTCCCACCCTCCACCATCGAAGCGATGGATCCTGGGCAGCGTCTGATGAACATAAAGCTGAGGAACCCGCCAGACACCTCTCCGGTACATCCACTCCTCATCCAGAATCCTATGCCACCCACACTGCAAAAGTAGAATTCCTCTCTTCACCAATCCCATTCTCCTTACTACCTAAATCAGTTAATCCATCTAAGGTCAAATACTTTTTGCGCAAAATCATTCCTCGTAAATCTTCTGGATACGACCTCCTAACCGCACAGATCCTTCGACAACTTTCACCAAAAGCTTTCATATTCCTTACATTTATTTATAATTGGATCCTAAGAATAACCCACTTCCCTCTGCTATGGAAACATTCCCCCATCGTCCTTTTCTGGAACCAGGCAAACCTTCCAACGATACATCATCCTATAGACCACTTTGCCTACTCCCAATCGTTTCAAACATTTTTTGAAAATATACTACTGAAAAGAATCCTTCCTATAATAGAATCCAAAAAAACTCCTACACACCAATTCGGATTTCATTCCCAACATCCCACTGTCCAACAAGGACTCCGAATTGTTGACCATATATCCTAAGCCCTAGAAAAGAAACAATATTGTTGGGGTGCTTTCCTGGACGCAGGCTTTGGACCGGGTATGGCACGCCGGATTTCTTTTCAAACTTCAAACCTACCACAGTCCTTATATCTAAAACTCCATATCCTACCTCTGTGATCGCTCCTTTAAAGTTTGCTGTGGTACTTAATTTTCCGACTGTTATTCAATTGAGGCGAGAGTTTCGCAAGGCAGCGTCTTGGGTCCCATACTTTACATTCTTTTTACCGCAGATATCCCTGTCTATTCTGATACCCTGCTGGCAACATTCCCTGATGTCGCTGCTATCCTTTCAACCAATTCAGATCATAAAACAGCCTCCTTAAATCTACAAAGACAAACCTCCCTAACAGAGCAGTGGTGCAACAATTGGCTCATCAAAATCAATGAATCCAAATGAAAGCATGTCACCTTCACATTCCGACGCAGTTCCTGTCCAACAATACACTCCAATTCCATACAGCTTTCTTTCTCAGACACAGTCCGGCATCTTGGTTTTCTCTTAGACAGATGACTAACGTGGAACCCTCATACTATACTTAAAAGACAGGAACTTAACCGACGAAACGGCTACCTAAACAAACTACTGATTAGAAAATCTAAACTTTCTAATAAAAACAAAGTTACTGATCTACAAGACAATCCTGAAACCTATTTGAGCCTACGGACTAGAACTGGGGGGGGACAGCAAAGGTTTCTAACATCAAACGCATCCAATCCTTTCAGTTCAAAGTCCTTCGAACAATACTCGATGTTCCGTTTTATGTAACCAACAAAACCCTACACCTTGATCTTAACATTCCATTTGTCCTAAACCTTATCCAAGAAAAAATCTCCAGATTTTACCATAACCTTACTTCTTATCCAAATCCTCCTCTTGCACAATCCATATCAAGCACCATCCATCCCTATAATGATCCATGAAGGTTAAAACGGCAGTAGCCCCGCGACCTATTGTAGATTGTATATATTGAAATTCTGCCAATGATCAGATTCTTCACTCAAGAAATGAGTGTATGTGGCTAAAGCGTTCTTGATCTTCCCTGGCTTTCGTACAAGTGACGCGGTTGAGAGATTAGCGCAGGGATCTCTTGGAGTCCTACTTTTCCCTTCATAGTTAGAAGGACAAGCCTATCTCGGAGTTCCCTCGGCTGATTTTAAATAGTGTATATTGCTTGATATGTATGAGTTTTTTTTAATTTACTTATCATTATGTTATTTTATTTTATTTATTGTATATATTTTTTATTACCTTACTACAACCAATGTCCAAGTGACAGAATGTTGTAATATTCACTAAAAAAATAAATTCAAAAAAATATTCTCTCTTATCTATTCATATATTTTTATTTTCATTAATCATCCTATTTAATGTTTATTTATTTTTTGTTATGCAAATTAATAATATAAATACATAAATGTAAACAAAATATTTGATAACGGGTTTAACGCCTTCTTTTCATCACAACCAACTAACCACAAACTTTTAAAACTATACATGTAACTCATTGAATATCTTTCAAAAACTATAAGGGTACTTAATGTTTCTTTATTTTCCAGACCCACACCAGTCGGGTTGGGATTAGGACCGATCCAATACAGCTTAGGCCTGCATTCGCCACAAAAAAAGGAGGATGAGCCAAGCACCATGTCCAGCTACCAGCCGGCTTCCACGCCACAACCATCTTCCAAAGAAGACGAGGATGATGGTATGAATTGGTTTAATTAAAGATTTCCGCAATAATCGTGACCGTAAAGAATGTTATTCAACCCGACTTAATAGCCAGCCAACTACAGTTTGCAAACCCGTGGCAAACATTCGTGGACAACAGTTTTCAAAGTGTCACAATTGCAAATTTCCGATTTGATGCCAAAATTAATGTCCTTCAAATTAATGTTTTTTTTTAAATAAAATAAAACTTTTTTGTGTGTAATAAGTATTGTAATTGAAATTTAAGGCAATAGTATTATGTTTTATTGCAGAAGATAGCATAGATGTGACTAATGAAGAACCACCGGTGGAGCCAGCCTTGTATCCTCCTCCTCCGCACGAGACAGTTTATGAAACTTCTGCCCGCCTCCTCTTTATGGCAGTCAAGTGGGCAAAAAACCTTCCTTCCTTCGCATCTCTACCCTTCAGGGATCAGGTGCAACACTTTTAGCAGTATGCTATGGATACGACTTATCTAATCAATATTATCTATATATATATTATATGCATTAACAATATATTATTTATTTGAAATAAATTTAATTTAATTTAAACTAATCATTGTACGGCTTTCGAAAAAGGTGATTCTACTGGAGGAGTGTTGGTCAGAATTATTTCTGCTGAATGCTGTGCAATGGTGCTTACCCCTTGAGTCGAGCCCGCTATTTAACGTATCCGATCACCTTTCTGGCCTCCCCAACGGAAAGGCTTCTCAAATCGCCGCAGAAGTACGCACTCTCAATGATACCCTCCTCAGGTTTCGCACTGTTGGAGTCGATCCTGCCGAATTCGCTTGTCTCAAAGCTATTGTCTTATTCAGAGCAGGTAATAACTCTAAAACATTTTCTTTTCAGTATATGTGTCAGGTTTAAGAAAATTGAGGGTATAGGCACAGACTTCATGGAAGGGAGGAGGGGCCCACCATAAAAAATAGAAAGCGAAAATGTCGTTTCGCCACCCTATCCCAATATTCAACGAAAAAAATATCAAAACTAAGAAAAATTAATCTACATTAATGAATAATAGTCAAAAAGTAAATAAAAAGTCAATTAGATGACTAAACTAAAGCTTTTTTTTTTTTTTTTTTTTCCTCTATATACTTTTAGGTTGGCTCTGCAATGTATGTATGTTAATGAAGTTATTTCTATATTTACATTTTACTTTTTACCAATTTTGGATTTATTCACATTGTACTCTGATCTAGAATCATGAAATACCTCTCACATCTCTCAACTCTATTTTATATGTATATCTATATATTTATAATTTAATATTTCATAGATATAGTATTTTTCCATTGTATCCATCCATATCTCCAAAAATTCCTAGGTACTGTACATTCCTGGGTTTTTCAATGTTTACTTAGTTAACTAACAAATGTTAACTCTCTGAATTTTTAATTGTCACTGATAATGTTTATACATAATATAAACCCCAGAAACTTTTTTTGGTGTCTATCATCTCTCTCTCTCTCTCTCTTTTTTTTTTTTTTTTTTTTTTTTTTTTTTTTTTTTTTTTTTCCTTCTTTCCCCCGCTGTACCTTAGGGCAACCCTATACCAGCGGTACATCCAATTTTCTAACTGAAAATTATGCCACGAATTTAAAGGGCTCGGTTACCAGGATTGGTAACCAAGCGGGCAGGTCTGCTCTCACTTTGATCCAAATTCTTGGGTCAAAGTGAGGCAAAATTCGGTCTTTTAGTTTGATTGGGGCATTAATTATTACGGGTAAACCCACACTAAAGGGCTGCCTGCAACTGGAGTGTCAAATAAAGTGTCAGTTTGGACAAGAACTCTTCACAACTCTCTCTCTCTCTCTCTCTCTCTCTCTCTCTCTCTCTCTCTCTCTCTCTCTCTCTCTCTCTCTCTCTCTCTCTCTCTCTCTCTCTCTCTCTCTCTCTCTCTCTCTCTCTCTCTCTCTCTCTCTCTCTCTCTCTCTCTCTCTCTCTCTCTCTCTCTCTCTCTCTCTCTCTCTCTCTCTCTTCTCTCTCTCTCTCTCTCTCTCTCTCTCTCTCTCTCTCTCTCTCTCTCTCTCTCTCTCTCTCTCTCTCTCTCTCTCTCTCTCTCTCTCTCTCTCTCTCTCTCTCTCTCTCTCTCTCTCTCTCTCTCTCTCTCTCTCTCTCTCTCTCTCTCTCTCTCTCTCTCTCTCTCTCTCTCTCTCTCTCTCTCTCTCTCTCTCTCTCTCTCTCTCTCTCTCTCTCTCTCTCTCTCTCTCTCTCTCTCTCTCTCTCTCTCTCTCTCTCTCTCTCTCTCTCTCTCTCTCTAATTAAGGTTTTAATTTTCCGATAGCTACTTCAACTTCCTCTACACTTGGTTCTTCTATTAACGGTTCAGCACTCTGGTACTCAGAAGGAGGACACAGATCATAATTTCCCGTATTTAAAATATTGTCAAAGTGGCTCTTAAACCTATTTAATATGTCAACCGGATCAGTCAGAATATTTTTATTTTCATCCTTAATTCCAGACGTGACGGACCCTAAACATTTTCGTGATCTGTTTGTACATGTCTCTTATGTTATTTGCGATTCTATTAGTTTCTATTTCTATTATTTTGTTTTTAAGATGCTTCTTTTTTTTTGTACAATTTTGTCGTTTCATTCTCGAATTGGGTTCTAATTGATGGATTTTTTAATTTTTCCAAATTAAAATCGAAACGGTTTTCTTTTCTCGTTTTTATATTAAGTTTTTGTCGAAATTTCGCGATTACTAATTCATGATCCGACCCACATTCAGCTCCGCGATAAGACCTTACATTAATTATACTGCTTTGCCAGCTATGTTGTATCAAGACATGATCGATTTGAGTTCGTGGATCCGGTATATTTATGAATATCTTAATGTTTAAACGTAGTACTTTTAATTATCAGGTTCTTCGAGATGGCAAAGTGTGAAGGGCCCCTCTCATTGTTGTTCAGTGAGTCCATCGGACTTAGCCGGGAGAAACTTCCAAGGAATTTCCTCTGAACATCCCCACATCCGCCACCCGTGGCATGCTCCCCATACGCGGTAATGAGCCCGCGCAATTATATTGTATTGGAAACAAAGGATTTTATTTTAACACTTTTTTCAGTTATTTTCTCAAGCTTACAAATCTTGTTTTCACTCCAAAAAGTAGTTTTTCTTTTGATGTTTCACTTCAAGGTTAGGTTAAAAAAAATAATTTAACCCATTTTCTTTTCCTAATGCGGTATAGTAAATTACGTAAGTACTTATTTGACTAGTTGTAAATAAATGCAATGAACTATTTTAAAAGTGGTAAATGTTTTTTTATTTCCTTGTTCTATAATTAATTAACAATTAATTAATTTCGAACCCAATCGGAATAAAAGATTTTCGCAGATCATTGTTGCTTAATGTTTTTTTTTTCAGATAGGCCTTCTTAAAAGGGAAGAACAACGCTTTCAGCTGTCTGAGAATAATCTATTATCTAATATTTTGGGGGTAAAGGGAAATGAATAGCAGGGAATTCAATTAGTCCTCTGGCTTCTAGTAAACTGATTATACATGAATTTTGCAAAATACGATGTCAAATGGTTGTGTAACGTTGTTGAGTTAGATAAAGAGCGATTCAGTAGAAAGATATTCAACGTTGATCCGAGTGCATATCCAGTCATTACCTTTTCCTAGAAGATCTAGACGGGAGATCCGAACACGTAGATTTGGATTTTGACGGGTTGGAGTAAAGTGGCTTTTAAATTAAAAAAAAAATTAAAACTGAATTTAATGTATGACTTTGAATGATGAATCGTGATCCTCATAAGTAAATGCTTAAAATAGTTGTATTGATATGTTACAGAAACAAGGGGTCTGAAGGACCCTCTTCAAGTAGAGAATCTTCAAGATCAAGCACAAGTGATGCTGTGCCAACACACTAGAGGGCGGCACCCAGGTCAGAGCCCACGCTTCGGGAGGCTCCTACTCATGCTCCCCCTCCTGAGGACAGTTCCTACACACAGGGTCGAATTCATCTTCTTCCAGCGAACCATCGGCAACACGCCTATGGAGAAGGTCCTATGCGACATGTACAAGAACTGAACCTCCTCGGTTTACGAAACAATACATCTCTTTTCCTTACTTGTAGTTCCCTACCTCCTACTGCGTCAGATGCTCCATTATGACCTTGAATCTCGTTAAAGTCGATGCACATTCCAAAGATGTATATCATTTTTAATAGTTCATTTGACCAGAATCCATAGTTACTTCTTAAGTTCAAAATGGAACGAACGGTGATTGGAACAGTACAGTGAAGAGCCGTCGGTCATATCCACATTGACAGTTTCAAAATCATCAATCAAAGCTTTGTTGATTTGAATTTATGAGCTTGAAGATTTCGAAAGTCAAATAAATGGACAAAAATATATTTAAAATACGGTTGTTGACACCGAAAGAAATAGAAAGAATGAGCTTTGTCTTAACTTGTCTTTGAATAGTTCTAATAGTACTAACTAAATCTCAAATATTTTTTTCATCTTTATACTTTATAATACACCTCATTCATCTCACACCATCACTTCATATCAATTTCCTCTATGTAATTCATTTGAGGGTATAAACATTTTGATTTTCTCATCAAGCTAACTCAAGTACCATGACATTACTGACTGTATAACAAAATAAATTACAAACAAGTTAATGTTTGTTTTTTATGTAAGGGCTGCACATTGCGGCAAACAATTGTCAAACATTTGAATCCAGCAACTTATACATGATATTTTTTATTAGTTCACAACTAACGTAGCACACATAAAACATATTTAGTCAAAAAGCAAATATGTAGGTAATAGAATCAAAACACTGTCATTATCGGCATATAAAATTCAGAATTGCAATGGATCGTTATTTGTAATTTTTTTTCAAATAGTATAAAAAAAAATAATAATAATAAATAAATGCATGTGCACACGAGCAAAAAAATATAAATATCATATAAGTAAATTCAGGCCAACATTTCGATCGTTTACAAGCTCAAATTTTCTGTAACAAACTATAGGCAACCAACATAATGATTTAAATTTATCTATCATTATTTTTTATTACTGATAAATAACTATTTTTTTATTTCCTCTCACAATACATTATTATAATGTATAACATTATATCTTGAGAGACTCAACATTTCTTTTAAGGATAAAATTAAAGAAACACTATTTCGACTCATTTACCATTAATTTGAACTTGTTTGAAGAACGTAAGATATAACTAATGAAATTAAATAAGTTCACTATCAGTTTAACAAAAGTTGAATTGTTAATTTTTCCAGTAATTCATTGGTTTAGTTGGAAATAGATTAGTTCAACTGTTGCTCATCAATACGGGTCTAAAAAAGGAGCATGAGTCAAAATAAAAATTGTTCTAATAGTAGAGCAAGATTAAACTTTTCCTAATATCCATTGGTGGAAGAACATGAACCAACTCAAATGAAACTAACGACCTCCTCAGGAATTTTCCCTTTCGGGGAGGAGGTTTGCAGATGGAGCTAAAATATAGAAAATATCTATATTATAAATAAAATGTATTTATTTACCAATAGTAGCTGGACCAAAAGTTCACAACAATTACAATTTTCGGTAGAAAATTTTACTACACATTCTACAGTTGAAAAAAAAAATTGGGAATTTCAATGAAGACTTGAATGAAAATTTAACGTATACTCTTATCCTTAATCCACTCCGATATTACTCAAATAATTATTTTCATTTTTTTTTTTACTAATATTTCGATAGTAGAACTTCAGTTAAAGGTTTATAAGGTAATGATTAATTTAAAAGTTCGGTTAAAGCAATTCATATCGCCACAATTTTTTTAATTTTTTTTCGTTATTGAATCAAAGAAGCTCAAGTACTAATTACTGTTCTCAATTCTTTTGGAGTTGAACTTTTCAAACAGAAATGTATTGTTATATTGATGAAATCTCAATTTCTTAACTTTAAAAGTATTTGTCCCTATTGATTTTAAAACAGAGTAATCCATTCAGTAAAATGCTCTATCCCAATTTTGGCACTTTCAAGTAGGTCCTTGGGCATGAAATTTCTCAACTTCTTGGATTTCCAATATTTTTTTGGGGGGTGGAGAGTGACTCAGCCCTTCCAGCCTTTGCCACGTCCCTCATCCTCCTCTTCCTTTTTCCGAACAATGATAAAATTTAAACCAACTTCAATATGTATTAAATAAATTCAATTCTGTATAACGGATCTCTAAAAATAAGCTCTTCAAAACCTCTTAAGTTGATGTTAATTAGTCAATATTTTGTGCGCCTTTTGGATTTATCTTGTCGAAACATAGATAAGAAATCCTATAGATCCTAAATGTGATGTGCAATACTGAGCTTGACAATATTTGAACCCATTCCATCATATGTATCAACTTTTCCTGTTTATCACGCCCGACTATTATAACTGGTACAATGTTTTCCGAAGAGCGTGTTTATAAATATCTTAATAAATCATTTATTTTTGTTAAACATTGTGTATTACAATGATTTGTTGGGCTATAGTTAAATGATTTGTGTATTTAGAATATAAATTTCAAATTATTAGTGAAATGTATCTACTATGTAAGTAAGCTATTCAGTCAATCGATGTTTGCCTAGATATTGATTATATTTTAAAGCATAAATGTGATTTTTATCCATAGTTGAATATAAGTGAAGAGAAAAGTATGAGTATTTTATTTGGAGGTAGATTTAAAATTTTGGAACTGTGTAAACTGTGCGCTCAATGAAATATCGAATTGTATTTATATTAAATATTGGTATTAAATAGACAACCTCGAATATTACCTTGTGTGCCATGTTAGTGTCCTCCATGAAAGATATACTAAAGCAGTGAGGTTTTAAAATCAATAAAAATCACTCACCGTACCTGGAATCTGAAATTGTTACTAATTGAGTGATCCATACCGCAATATTTAATGGAAAGTTATTCAATTAATAAATAGATGATATGAGGGCTTGTTTACATTTTTAAGTTTTATCTCAATTTAAAACTAAAGTATTTGTTCAACGATATTAAAAAATGTTTCTTGTCAATCAGGATTTTTGTTCTAGTAATTGCTTTCTATTTATACATGTAATTGTCATAATGTTGTTGGTTTTTTGTTTTAATATGTCATGCATTCTTACAAGGATGTTTATAGCTGTAATTAAGTATATAATCATACATTCGAAATTCATGTGAGATATGTATTTAAGATGTTAGATGGACATCTAATTTGTATAAAGCTTTTTATTCGTATGCATAATTGGTTAAACAATGAGTATCCTTTGTGTCTAAATGATTTTTCCATGAATTGAAAAGATATGGTGACTATTTCAATAACATTAACATTGAATTAATTCATTGTTTCTATCTTATATTTTTAGTTAATTATCGTAATAAATACGATACTCTTATAGAATTGATTGTTTAATATTTTATACTAAATATTTAGCTCTCTGTGTATATGTGTACATAAATAATGTTAGATTATCAATTTATATTGTTGTTTGGTGTAACATGTACGTAATATGCCTCCGCTGCTTTGACGCTATTGAAGAGATTCCTCAATGTTCTATGTAATTATAGAGGAGGATTGTGAAAGGATTTAGCTCGCTAGACCAACAGACCTAACTCTATAATATATCTCTCTGCTATTATGAATAATAAATTTTTTAAATCGAAATGTAATTTTTAAATAATATATCACCTTTACACCTAAGGTAACTGTAGAATTAAAATATTTGCTAATTAATTAACTCAAACATTTAATTAATTGTTATCTTTATAAATCTGCAAAGCTAATAACTAAGCTATATGCTAAATCTAGTGACATTTTGCCAAAACTACCCACAGGTGAAACACACTAAATGGTTTTAGAGCTACATTATGATGTTTGAATGCAATGTATGGTTTTAAAACATAAATTAAATTTTAATTTTTAAAAATATTGCTTTATTAATTAATTTAAAATACCTCGGCACCACAATAAGCTCAATAGAACCGGCAGAAATCGGGCAGCGTATAAGAAGCACAAACACAGCTTTAATAATAATGCTTTATTATTTTATTTTTTTTATATACATTGCAATAATAAATTACATGTTTGTGGTTGCAGTAACCTTACACATCACATACTTTTTTTTTTTTTTTTTTTTTTTTTTTTTTTTTTTTTTTTTTTTTTTTTTTTTTATTGAATAATAATACAATCAGCCACTGTTGGAGGGCTATAAGTATTAAGGCTAAAAGTTCTCATTCATACAGTATATACAAGTAATACAGAAGTAACTATAAATATAAAAAGTAAATAAATAAACAAAATAAAATAAAAACTTCTAAACACATTCATACCTATATACAATATATACATTCGCCCAGGAATCTCTGAGCCAGGCTTTTCTCCCCACATGTGGAAAGCAAAGCAGGACTCCAGAGATCCCAGTGGCACTTTTCCAGCCGCATCACTAGTATTAAAAGCCAGTGGAGGCTGAAGGATGGCACTAGAGCCACAGATGCTCGGAACTTGAGTGGAGAAGCTGGCCATTGCCAGGACTCCAGAAGCATATTTACAATAGATCTCGCGGCCACTGCCGTTTTAACCTTCGAGGGTGATTGTAGGGATGGTGGGAGCTGGATAGGGATTGAGCTAGAGGATTTGGATGATGGATAAGGTTCTGGTGAAAGTTTGAGAATCTGGATGGGATGATGTCGAGGACAAATGGGATGTTAAGGTCATGGTGTAGGGTCTTATTTGTGACATAATATGGGGCATTGGCTATTGTTCTAAGTACTTTGGACTGGAAGGATTGGATGCGTTTGATATTCGAATGTTTAGCAGTTCCCCACAGTTCAAGTCCGTAGGTCGAGATAGGTTTCAGTATTGCCTTGTAGATTAAAAGTTTATTTTCAATCGAAAGATGAGATGTCCTGCTTAGTAGTCTATATAGCTGGCCATATCGTTGGTTAAGTTCTTGCCTTTTAAGTCTCGTATGTGCGTTCCAAGTTAGTCTTTTGTCTAGAAGGAAGCCAAGGTAACAGACTGTATCTGAGTAGGGAAGTGGTAATGAATTGAAAAGGATTGTGGGACAGGATCTGCGTCGCAGGGTGAAAGTAATATGTTTGCATTTTGCTTCATTGATTTTGATGCGCCAGTTGTTGCACCACTGCTCAATCAAGGAGAGGTGAGATTGTAGGTTTTGAGATGCTATTTGAGGATCTGAGTGGGACGATAGAATGGCAGTATCATCAGCAAATGTAGATAGGAAGGTATCGGGATTTGAAGGGATATCGGCAGTGAAAAGGATGTAGAGAACTGGACCCAAAACACTGCCTTGTGGAACACCAGCCTCAACTGGATAGTAAGTGGAGAATTCGGTGCAGCAACGGAATTGGAAGGAACGATTTGAGGACAAGGTATAAGGATTGGGGTAAATGGGTTTTGAGCTTGAAAAGCAAGCCATCGTGCCACACCCGGACGAAAGCTTGCGCCACGTCCAGAAAGGCACCAGTGCAATATTGCTTGTTTTCAAGTGCAGAGGATATATGGTCCACAACACGAAGGCCTTGTTGGACAGTGGAATGTCTTGAGCGGAATCCAAATTGATGAGAAGGGATGTTGTGGGATTCGAGTATGGGTAGGATGCGTTTGAGGAGGATTTTCTCAAAGATTTTTGAGAGGATAAGGAGTAAACTTATCGGTCTGTAGGATGATGTGTTATTAACGGGTTTGCCTGGTTTTGGAAACAGCACGATTATGGAGTGTTTCCACATCAAGGGAAAGTTGGTAGTACGAAGGATGCAATTATATAGATAGGTCAGGAATATAATTGATTTTTTGAGAAGTTGTCTAATGATTTGTGAAGTGAGGAGATCATATCCTGGGGATTTTCGGGGTTTTAATTTGTTTATGAGGAATTTGACCTCAGAGGGGTTAACAGGTTTTGGAGGTAGAGAGAGAGGAATTGGTGAAGAGAGAAATTCTTTAACTTCAGCAGTGTGGGTGGGATGGAGTTCAGGATGGGGAGTGAATGTGTAGGATAGATGTTTAGCAAATTCTTCAGCTCTATTCGCATCTGACGAAGCCCAGGAATCTGAGGAATCATTACGGTGGAGGGGGTGGGAAATGGATTGGAATTTAAGGATTTTTTTAGTTACAGTCCAGAGGGAGTTATTAGTAGATGATAATGAGAAAAGGTAGGAATTGTAGGATTGGGTTCTAAAGATATCCAGTTTCTTTTTTACCTGTTTGGAATAATAATTATAAGATTTCCGGCCATCAGGATGCCTGGTTCTTTGCCAGAGGGCCCTAGAGCATCATTTGCTATGGATAAGGTCCAATAGGTCTTGGGGTAGAGGATTTATACTGAGGTGTTTTTTGGGACGATCAGGTGAGGATGCAGTCCAAACTGCTTGCTGGATCAGGGTAGTGAAGGAGTCCACTGCATCGTCAAGGTCTTCAGGTGTTTTTAAGGAAACTCTGAGGTCTATATTATCATCCAATATTTGACGGAAAAGGTTCCAGTTAACTGGTCCCCTGATAAATGAAGGAGGGGATGATTTAGGAATGGGTGATCTGGAAACGGTTAGGACTATAGGACTGTGGTCTGAGGAAAGATCATCAAGCCTTGAAATGGAACAGTGTAATGATCCTAGACCTTTGCGTAAGAAAAAGTCTAGAAGGTTGGGATTGCGGTTGGGATCTGTTGGCCAGTATGTGGGAGTATTAGGTGAAAGGATGTTGCTGCGATGGGAATTAAGTGCAGATAACAGTGTTCACCCTCGGGAATTTGTGGATTTGGCTCCCCATTGTTGGTGTTTTGCATTTAAATCTGCACCTAGGATGAAATGGTGTCCTAAGGAATTCAGGAAGGAAATTATTTGGGATTCGGGAATGGGTATTTTAGACGGGGAATATGCCGCAACTAATGTTATTGGGTAAAGGGAAGTTTGGATTATTACGGCAGTGGATTGTAGGAAATTATGGGTTGGTAAGGGAAATAAATGATGGGAGAGAGATCGGTGGATAATTATAGCAGTGCCAGCATGTGCTGTTCCATCAGGATGATCGGTCCTATAAATATTGTAGCCAGGAACGTTGATTTGTCGTTTGTTGGTTAGTCGGGTTTCAGTTATTAGTGCTATGTCGATGTTTTTGTCATGTAATAAGATTGTCAGTTCGTTGATGTGATTTCGAATACCATTCGCATTCCATAGGAGAATGGAGAGGGGTTTGGTTGAGGATATTTATGGATTTCTCGGCGGTGGAATGAGGTTGGATATAACATTGGTAAGTAATGAAATAAGAGGGGTGATGAGGGATCTAAATTCAGAGAGGAAAGAAGTTAATAGGCTTGTGAGGTCAATGGAATTGGAAGAAGGAGGAATGTATGTCTGGGTATTGAACCTAGGTTCAGGGATGGAGGGATATGGGTCTTGAGGTTGATTTGTGAATTCTCGAGGTTGAGGTTCTTGTGGCAGGGCCTGAGATTGAGTGTTTATAGTGTCTCCTTTGAACATCTGAGCATAGGCCACTCTTCCGTTCACTGTTCTATAGGGTTGTCTTGGTGGTCTGGATGTCCCTTCTTCTCTAGGAGTTGCGTACATTCTTGTTTGTAATTCTTTATATGTTTGACAACCCTTGTAGTTGGCAGGGTGCCCTTGGTGGCATAAAGCGCATACTGCAGGTGAAGTTCTAGACTTCCTACATTCCTGTGTTGCTCACCACACCTCACACATCTAGGAATGTGATGACAAAATCTTTTCGTATGGCCATAAGCCTGACAGTTATAGCATTGAACGATGTCGCGCTTGGTGTAAGGCTTTTCCACAACAACGCTGGTGTAATAAAGGCGTGTGACCTTGTAGATGTCTTCGACCTGGGGCGTTCGGTCAAGGTCAATGAAGAATAGTGGGAGCGGTATTTTACTTTTTATTCCAGGCTGTTCTCTATCCTCCTTGAATATGTTCACTATCTGGTGAACATGGAATCCCGTACCCACGAGCTCTTCTTTTATAGCATCTGTTGGCGTAAATGGGTGCAATCTTCTGATAACGACCCTGAGCGCCCTCTCTTGACGCAGTTGATACGTGTGGTAATCAGCCTTGGTGTCAGATAAATATTTTTATCTTTATAAATATTATTATATTATAATAATATTAATATAATTAATATAATATTATAATATTATTTTTATCTTATAAATATTTATAAGTTTCTGGAGTGTCGGGCATTAATTTAGTGTCATTGGTGCGGCTTTGGCATAAATATTTTCCTGAGCCCACTAGGATATTCAATTGGTGACACATTAACTGAAAGTTTTTAATATTCCTAAGGAATATTGGTGGGGAATCACATACTAGTGGTATGAATGCAATTTAGAAAATTAAAATCCATTTTTTACAGTAGGAAAAATCTCATAAAAAACCTAAATAAGATATAAATGAAAAACTACAATAAAATCATTAAAAGTACAAGAAAAACAAAATATAATAAAGAAAACGATATATATATAGTTTTCGTTTGTATATAATAGTGTATATATATATATATATATATAATATTACAATGTTTTTTTTATAATTCGATCTTTACATATTATAACTTAAGATATGAATTATAGTCGGATAATAGGGCAGGAAATACAATTAGATGATTTAAAACAACTTCTGTTTATTCCATTTATTCAA